CCGCGCGGGCTCGCCCAGCGCGCTGCGAGTGCTGGCGGCGGTGCAGGAGGGCCACGCGCGGGTGAGTGCTGGCGACGCGCGGGCCACGCGCCGCCACCACGTGGGGCGGTCCCGGCTGCGCAGTGCGGGTCAGTCCGTCTCGGCCTGCGGCGTTGACGGGGCCATAGACTTTTCGCGGGGCAGAGCTCTCAGGGGCTCCCCGATCGGGGAGAGAGAGGCACGGGGAAACTGAGGAAGAGGCCGAAAGGGCAACGCTGAATCCTGAGTGGGTTGCTGTGGGGTGCTTACTGCGGGCGCGACCCGCCCACCAGTGACTCCGGGGGATTTCCAAAATCCAGGCCCGTTCTGGCACCCAGACGGTACCGCCGATTGTCTCTTGTTAGTTTCAGGCCGCCATGCAAGGGTTGAATTTACACACAGGCCTGGGCCGGAACCTTCTAGTGCTGGCGTCTGCTTTAATCCAGTGCGAATGCGTGAACCAACCGGGGCTCCGTCTTTTAAATGGACTAAATGAATGAGAAGTTCGCAACCCGCTGTTTGGTTGCTGATTTCAAGGCTGTAGGTGTGTCTTGTGTGTGAAGCTACATTGCTGTCTTCATCAAATAGGTCACAAAAGTTACTTAACTACACTAGGTCTATCCCCAAATCAAAGTTACTCCTGCAACAAACCTCAGATACTCTACAAAACCTGCAGACACGCAGCCTCCAAGAGTTTAGAATTGAATATTACGTGTAAATAGGTGGAGTTTTAAAGTGTGGCAGTAGGATTTTCACTTAAGAGTGTCCTGGTTGTCCGGGCTCGGTGGCTCAGCCTGTAATCCCAGCACTTTGGGAGGCCGAGGCGAGTGGATTGCCTGAGCCCAAGGGTTCGTTCGAGACCAGCTTGGGCAACTTGGGGAGACTTTGTCTCTACACTGAATCAAAAATTAGCCGGGCGTGGTAGTGCTCATCTGCAGTTCTGGCTACTTGGAAGCCTGAGGTGGAAAGATCGCAGAAAACCAGCAGGTAGAAACTCGGGTGATCGTGAGCATATCACTGCATTCCAGCCTGGGCGATGAAGACTCCAACTCAAAAAAAAAAAAAAAAAAAAGTGTCCTGGACCTGGTATCAGATGCGGTGAGATAGGCCTTTGGGAAGCCCAGTCCTGGTTCTTCAGACCTTTATTCTGGCACCCAGCATGGCTACATTTATTGAATGATTAAATCAGATCGTTCCTAGAAAAAGGTAACATATTCTTGTCACCTGTTCTTGCTGTCTCAAGAACAGAAAAGTTCAGTTTTACTAGTCCAAGAGAGAAGTGGGAGATAGAACTTGAGAATTTTCTATTGAGGTGGGAGAGTAGCCACCCCCTAGAGCCTAAAGACAGGGTCTCTGATGATTTGCTGAAGATTTGCTCTCTGGTTATGAATGGAGAGGGTTCTCTCCAGAAAACCACACCCAGATTTATAAAGTATACCAGTTTTCAATTCCAGGAATTATTTACTTCCTTCCAAAACCATTTTTTAGAAAAGTTCAGACTGAGTGCAGTGGCTCATGCCTGTAATTCCAGTACTTTGGGAGGCTAAGGTGGGAGGATCACTTGAGCTCAGGAGTTCAAGACCAGCCTGGGCAACACAGTGAGACCTCAAACTCTACAGAAAAATACAAAAATTAGCTGGGCGTGCCTATAGCCTCAGTGACTCGGGAGGCTGAGATGTGAGGATCGCTTGAGCCCAGGAGTTGGAGGCTGCAGTGAGCTATGATTGCACCACTGCACACCAGCCTGGGCAACAGAGTGAGGCCCTATCTCTAAAGAAGAAGAATAAAATAGCTAGTATTTTCATGCATTTAGTCACCCCCTTGAAAATAAAACACTTGGCATCTCTCACAAAATCAACAAAACTAGCTCTCAAAACCCAAGTGAGTTAAGACAAAATGTCCCTTCTGTTCCAAAAAGAGCTTCATTGCTGTTTTTCATCTGTAGTGGTATAATGTTCCGGAATTGTCCCTTCCTTTTAGCAAAAAAAAGAAAGAAAAAGAATCACTGGGCACTGTGGCTCATTCCTGTAATCCCAGTACTTTGGGAGGCAGAGGCAAGAGGAATACCTGAGCCCATGGGTTCGGGACCAGCCTGGGCAACTTGGCGAGCCCTTGTCTCTACAATGAATCAAAAAATTAGCCAGGTGCGGTGGCATATGCCTGTAGTTCAGCTACTTGGAAGACTGAGGCAGAAGGATCAACTGAGCCCAGTAGGTCGAGGCTGTGGTGGCAGTGAATATGCCACTGCACTCCAGCCTGAGAGACAGAGTGAGAAGTGAGATTCTGACTAAAAAAAAAAGAAAAAAACAATAAGCTCAAGACGGGTGTGCAGGAGAGGGAGGAGGAGCTCGTGAGTAGCTAAGGATCCTTCCTACTGTTATCTTCTCACTTCCTCCCTGATTTTAAAACCAAAATGGTTTTAATGTTTCACAATCCAGGAGCCAAGAAGGAGCACTCAGGCCTTTTTCAGAACCAAGAATCTCTAGGGACTAAAGCAGTTTGTTTCTCCCAGGAATTCAGCAACACTATTTTCCTTCATGCCTCTGCCTCCTTCAAACTTCCCAACTAAAGAAAAAGATCCCAGGCCAGGTGCGGTGGCTCACACCTGAAATCCCAGCACTTTGGGAACCCCAGGTGAGAGGATTGCTTGAGCCCAGGAGTTCCAGACCAGCCTGGGCAATAGAATGAACCTTGTTTCTAAAAAAAAAAATTGTAGCCGGGCATGATGGTGCGTACCTGTAGTCCCAGCTACCAGGAAGGCTGAGGTAGAAGGATTGCCTAAGTCCAGTGGTGGAGGCTGCCTCAGTGAGCCATGATCATGCCCCTGCACTTAAGCATGAGCAGCAGAGTAAGACCCCAACTCAAAAAAAAAAAAAAGGAACATAACACTAAAAAAAAAAGTATAAAAGATCCCCCACCTGCAAGGTGAGCGAGTCATCCTGGTGCAGGGGGAGTCTTAAATATGTGATAATGACATACTGGGGGGGGGTGGCAGAGGCAAGGGGGATGTGGTTGGAGTGTGGGAGAGAGTGCTGATTCTAACCAGGGATGTGCCCTGGGCCGCCTTTATGAAGTGGGAGAACAGCCAGTGGGGTGTTTAGGGCCCTCGATAACAGCTTCTGCTTGACCTCCAATGAGCCATACAACCCGGAGAAGGTCTTAGAAGTCTTCTCTGGCTGTCTCCCCACTTTGAGTGGAAAGAGTTCATGTTCTGCCAACAATGCCAGGTGGCCTTAAGAGTCATGTAGGATGACATTAATGTGAGCTGCGGAGAAGTCTTTTGGCCATTTATTGAGCACTTATTGTATTCCAGGAAACAGGGCTAGTTACTGTGGCCCTGATTCAGATTTAAGGTAGGGCTGTTAGGAAAGGCGTCTTCGAGAGTTATTGTTTTGTGTATAAGGCTCAGGGTCTCGCTCTGTTGCCCAGGCTGGAGTGCAGTGAGTGGTGCAACCTCAAACTCCTGGTCTCAAGTGATCTTCCCGCCTCAGCCTCTTGAGTAGCTGGGACTGCAGGCATGCAACACCATATCTGGCTTTTTTTTTTTTTTAATCTTGTAGAGATGGGGTATCGCTATATTGCCTAGGCTAATCTTGAACTCCTGGACTCATTGCCCAGGCGTATCTTGAATTCCTGGCCTCAAGCAATCCTCCTGCCTCAGCCTTCCAAAGCACTGGGATTACAGACGTGAGCCACTGTGCCAGGCCAGATTCATTCAGTTTTGAAGCACTTAGCTGCTTTACTCAGTCTGCCAGTGTGTGGTGCAAGCACTTTCTTTCTGTGCAGTGACAAGAAATTTCTGCCTCAATGGCAAGAGGAGTCATAGCATTGGCAAGAAGTAAAAAATGGTTGAGCCTAGCCAGGCTCAGTGGCTCAGCCTGTAATCCTGCGCCTTTGGGAGTCTGAGGTGAGTGGATTGCCTGAACCCGTGGGTTCGAGACCCGCCTG